CATTTCAACCAAACTTGGCAAATCGGACCAGCCGTTCTCGAGTTTTAGCGAGACAAACGAACAGCAATCGATTTATGTATATATTAGTATCGCAGTTAGGAATTACTTGTACGATTTTAAAAGAAAAAGAACAAATTTATAAATCCAAAATATACATACATTTGTCAAAATATGCAATGCTAATAAAAACATACTATATTCTACTTACATACGATAAAAAGTAGAGTTAAATAAACTAAAAAAAAAATTAATAAACTATAATTTTCTCAAAGTAGATTAAGTTTTCAAGATTCTCTGGAGTTTTCATTGTCTCTAATATTATGATTATGAGTCAGGAACATATTGTTGAATAGTAATCTATTGATAGGTGTTAAAAAAGTTCAGGGTCACACCACCTATGCACGGAAACCTGTTATCGTTTTTTTGTTGCCTTACCGTCATCGTTTATTGACCAACAACTTGAACAACATAACTTCATACATAGTAGAATCTTTAAAAAAACGAAGAGCTAAAGCAGTATGGCAAAAGTTCGTTGATCCGATTGTCTAACTACAGTATTCGCTGCTTATATCCAAAAGGGCCACAAATGAATATTGGCTGAAATATTTTTTATTAAAATGTGTAGCAAGAGTCACCCATATTTTTTTATTTCACAAAAACGTAGATTAAAGTTATATGCATATAATATAATATAATAATATTATATCCATATTTTTTTTTTATAAAAGTGCTGTTGGCCGATTTTGATTTGTGGCCCTTTTGAGGGATTGCTAAAAACGGGATTGCTACCTTATATGTACTTTATTTTTTTTTTATATTTTCGTTCATTCATTCATCATTCTGATGTCAATGACTATGGAAGTTTATAAAAAGTGACCGTATATAAAATTGTGTTTACTAACTTCGTGGAATAATAATTTAATTTTTTAATCAAGAAATAAAATTTATATTTTCAATATTTGTAATCTATCTTACGTCAAACAAAACTCCAATCATAGTAATATGGTAATAAAATCTGAATGTTCAATTGTTCTTTTTTATATTTTACTTATTCGTTTCTTTGAATATAAAAACAGCAGATAATTAAAATTTCTTATTAAAAACTTTGTATACTTCATTTATATCGTGTCATTTGTGGTAATATTTATTATTTATGATGTCACGTATTCTCTGAGTTGACGTTTACGCAGCTTTAAATGATTAAAATTTAAAACAATTGAAAATTTTCCTATCCTCCATTTGGAACGATATACAAGATTAATCAATAATTATGTTTGATATTATTTATCACTTACTAGCTTTTCCTGTATTATACGTAAACCGTCCTCTTCATTTATTAATGGGCTTTGTACAATTCTGCCAAATTTCTTGAATAGGGATGACGACTGGGCAAAAAAGAGAGATTCTATTTAGTCAGTCAGTCAAATAATAGAAAAATACTAGATGTTTTTTTGTTTCAATTTAAACAAGAAATGGCTTAGAAAATAGGTTAGTAAAGTTGGGGAGTGGGGGATTGCTACGTCACAGATAAGCAGAAAATTTACAAAAGCGTGACGTTATGCGACTTTTCAACTCAATGTATCGCCGTTACTTATGGATTACGCAAAAAATTAAAAAAAGTATTTAATATTGTTCATTAATCTACAAAAAAAACAAAAATTAGTCGTCACCCCTATCGATATCTATATTAAAATCCATTGCGCAGTTTAGATCCCAGTCTACAGACAGCGCAAAATAAATTTGTTTTATTCTATGTATAGATGATATGAGTATTCGTTAAAATATTATGCTTAATAATTTTGGATCATCGAGATTCAGCCACATAAATGAAGTCTATTTCATAATCTTAATGTAATATTCATTGCCGATACATATCTGATGATATTAAATTTATCGAAGTGTCTTTGATAATGCTACCTTCATTTTTGTTATTGTTTTTACTATTTAAGTAATTAATGATAACTTGCGCAATGTATAATTAATTATACCAGTTAATTAGTTTCATTTGATGAATTGACGTATAAAAGTGCCATTGTCAGGTCAGATTTTCACTCACGAAATTCTTATTGCCGTTGTAAAAGAACTATCTTTTTAATCATATCGGCCAGTTGCTAAAACGTTCATTAAAAATTCCATCACTTTAAAGCGACATTAGCCATACAAATTGACATTCATTAGGGCATAAAGGCGTCATTTAACCTTAATGGACGTTTGTTCAACTGACCGTATATCTCAAAAACAAAAGCTTAGATATATAGTATTAAGACAATATTTGTAGATAATTATCTGATGTAAAGTTGTTGTTTGGGCTAATTTTATAATTAAACTTACCGTTTTGCATATAACCCGTTTTTGTTACATTTGGTCCCGATTTTAATTCCTCCGGGCGGATCGATGAGGAATTTTTACATTTTATAAAATATTGTTAAAATACCACTAAAAGTTGAGTACACACATTTCTTTTAAATTGTATGATTGCCATTTTTATATAAAGAATTTGTTTATTACAAATTTTAAAGGGTAAAATTACACTACTCCATTTATATGGCTGTCAATAAGATATGTATATATAATATGTATATATCAATGGCTGACTTTAAACATGAATGAATATTTTAAGAAAAAAAAAGCACAAAAAACTAGATGGCGGATTTACTTTTATATATGAAAAACGGAAGGGTTGTCATGGAGAAATCAAGAAAGCACCGTTGCGACATCTAGTTTGATTTCGAGAACTATTTTTTTTTAAATACTTCCTCGTTGCGATGTAAGAAGCTGATGACGTTACAGTATAAATTTGATAACATTAATATCGTAAACTCATGTTTTGATTCAAACAAGTTTTTTTGACTAATTAGCTTTTAACACCTTAGCCGCTATGAGTTTCAGTTGACAGCAATACTGTAGTTGTAGATCAACTTTGAAATACTGGACTGATTGGACATGGGCAGCCTATTCTTATTCTTATGAATTGATGATTAATTTTGCATTCACAATGCTATACATACTGATATTATCTTATTTAATTTCATGTACCTACTTTGACATGTCTTTTGGAAGATAAATTTGGGATAAATGACTATACTCCATTCATTATAACATTAGAAAAAAGAGGGTCATAGAAGCAGCATTGCAGAACATTTTATTTCAAGATGAATTTAAAAAATATATATTATAGTTTTGTTGAAACTTTGAACCTTAGGTAGTGTGAAAGAGCTTCCATTTTTTACGATACCTTGGGGTTGAGATGAGGCCAGCATTTTCTTAATTCATCTTTCACTCTCAGCTTACATGGAACTAAAACTATTTATAATTTTTTTTTTATAAATCCTAATTGTGAATGAGAATCGTGCCGAAACTACCCAACCCTGCTTCTTTAGGGTCTTTAAGATGGACACGTTTTATTGTAATAGTTATTAAATCATTTAAGTTGGTTAAATACTCATAAATTTGTTTAATAGATAGCTTAAATGAGAACAGTTAAGTATAGCAGTTGGTATTTAAGTGGATATGTAGCAAATTAGCCGTCAGTCTTAAGAGTAACATGATTATTGATATTTTATCAGAAAGTATACCATAAAAAGAATCTTATTTAACTTCTGTCTAATGCTATAATGAATGGAGTATAAGTTGGAAACACTGCTATGAAAAAATTAAGGTGAAATATTATTTGATCAATTTTATCCTTTTCAGGATCGCGATGGTGCTCCGCCGACGCCGCCGCGAATCTAAACCCTAATATGGGATGCAACATCTTGAAGAGAGCCAACAAGGGGTCACGCTGTATCGATTCCAATTATTTGTATTATAATGAATTATAGAGAGTATTAGTTAAGTGTCATCGGATCGCGCGTTCCAATAAGCGATATACTAAATTGAAACCTTAAGATCTTATCAATAGGTATAAAGTTATATATATACATTAAGCGTCAGGCAGTGTTAAAAAATTATAGAATTATTAGCGCCGAATCTCAAACATCTGAAAAACTACAATATTATTATTGATTTGTGATTTATGACTGGCATAAAACATTTACTAAATTGAAACTATAAGATCTTATCAATAGGTGTAAAGTTATTTACATTAAGCGTCAGTGTTAAAAAATAATCAAATTATTAGCTTTGAATCTTACAAATGATATGAAAAACTACAAAAACTCATATTATTAATTTGTGATGGGCATAAAACAAAGTTTTTTAGGTTAATTAGATGACATCGTAGTGCGTTTCCTAAAATTTTGACAAATTAGTTATTTCATGCCTCGGTGCTATTTAATTTGAAAATTTACTGATAACGTGTGATGCTACATTGTTAATATCAATTTAGAATAATCATTCGGATAAGATAAATCAGATAAATTGTAAAATATTATATTAAATTAAAAACACCCGAGGGGATGACAAATAATATTTGTATCTATAGCACGGTCGCCGAACAGAGGGAATTCCGTACAACGACCCGGCATTATCTATCTCTTTCACTAGTGCGCTCGCACAGATACATCTAGCCAATTTTGTCACAGTAAAGTGAAATATTTACGATATCTATCAATAGGCACAAAGGTACGTACGAAATTATTCCTGTTCCGCGATCTTGCTTTACTCTAAATTATACATTACTCCAATAATAGATTGCTGTGATCTTCACTAGTTGATATATGATTTGAAAATTCTTATTTAAATTACATTGTGTTTATGCTTTATTTTTATTTTGTATTTATGCTGCTAGTATAACATTGGTGATCTGTATAAGTACTAGTAGAAGTTGCAATATGAATTACGAACATTCTGCGTTTAAGTTTGTAATAACTTTTTATATATTTTTTTAAGTGGGCTGGGTTTATTTACACACAAATAATTACCACATTGTTATCATACAATATGTTATACATCACCTATTGAAATTTTTATCAAATGTGCAAATAAAGAAATCTAAATGTGACCCCGTTTTCTTTTATTTCTAAAGTAGCTCTAAAGATATATAACTACTAATGAAGCGTGCAGAAAGAAACTTGCATGATTTAATAAAATATTTATTGGTACAAATAAGACTTACCTTGATGTTTAACAAAATATAACGTGTCCATCGAGACAGCAGAGCCGACCTCTTGGATTTTAAAATTTATCTTGAAACTTTTACTCGATAATTCAACTTAAACATGAGATCGACAATTATTTGGGCATAAACAAATACAAAAATTAAAAAATCATCAATCGGTCCAATCATGTTTACGACTTTGTTTCTTATTATGCTGTATATAGATCACAAAATTCTTTACGAGCAATAATTTTGTTATCGGAGGATTTCATAGATGTTTTAATGCAAGATTCAGTAGTGGCGCCAATACGAAAGAACCACAAAAATATACCTTATACAACAGGACTTTAAAGCTTTTTTGTAACATGAATTCATGAAGGTTTGAAATCAAATATGACCCTCGAAGAAGGTATTGGTATGTGGAATCAATAATAGAGGTCTTGGTAACCATAACTTGAGGTCTGAATAATATAAGCACCGATACATAATGCAGCGCCACTCTAATCACTAAAAATATATTATTAAACCCGTACAGAATCCCGTTCACGTTAAACAGATGGTTAATTTCCGAAACTACTTATCATAGTAATTCCTAGGTATAAATTAATAAATGAGTCAAGAGTAATTTTACAATCCAAGAGAGCGCAACTACTGAAGACGAACATACAAGATTTCAAATAAAGCTTTCATAAAATTGGTAAATATGTAACCAAAACCGTCGTCGACGTCGTTAAAACTATTGCATAGATCCTTAAAACTGAACATAAAGTTACTGACTATTAGTACTCGGTACTCGCTGAATAATCCCTTTCATAAGAGTTCAATGTCATTAACTCTCACCTTTATAAGGCGGAGTAAGCACCGATCATGATTCTTGTATTCGGTCCACTTCATTTTTAACCTTTTTAAGTAAGTCACAGATTTTTTTATACTTCCCTGTCGAGTTGGGAAGATTCTCAAAGTTTATGACGTCACAAATGTCTTTTGCAAACTTATCATCACTAGGCAATTTTAAGTAGGAAGAAGCTATATTCATCACTGGTGTACCATATGACGTATTTTTCACACGTCCCGTTTTGTTTTCTGGTGTCGATACATTTACTTCGATATCTACACTTGCGCATTTGTCATTCACAGTTTCTTTTACTTCAGTTGCGTCATCATTACTAACTACGTCAGACGAATCTAGTTTCGCTTTGTCATTACTATCGTGTAGTGAGGTATCAGAATCGTCAGTGGGTACATCGACGCATTCATCGAATAAAGTTCTATCATCAGCGGTATCATTACCGTCATTTTCTATGCCTTCTTTAGGCACGTTATCTTTCAATCCCAATTCGCCTTCCAACGCGTTAAGTAGCGCCCTTTTTTTTTGTTCTAGATCATCAAGAGTAGGGCTGCCACGAGCACTACTTACATGAGATTTGTCCTGTAATCAATATTATTATTAAAAAACACGAAATAATACTCAATTTGATATCAGTTGATTTGCTTTGGACACCTTAAAAAGCTCGGTGGCGTAGTGGATAAGCGCCCGCGGCCGGCGATCGTTGTCGTTAAGCAACTTTCGCAATGGTCGATCACGGGATGGATGACCAAAAAATATATTATCTCGATCTACTCCGTGCTTCGGAAGGCACGTTAAGTCGTCGGTCCCGGCTGCATTTGCCGTCGTTAATACCCTTCAATCCGCATAGGGCCAGCGTGGAGGGTCATGACCCATTCTCCTTAACCATATAAAAGGAAGGCCTGAGCCCCTGCAGTGGGGACGTAAAAGGGCTGATGATGATGATGATGATGATCTTAAATTCTATTACACGAGACTTTAAATTCTATTGATGGCTGCATCACAACAAACAACAAACTTCACCCAACAGACCATAGAAAAGTTTAAGTATGTTCAACTAATAATTTGTAACTGTTGTAAATACTGATGGTTATCCAATTAACAATCTGATGGGTTATCATTACCTTTTAAAGCAATTTTTAAACTGTGCAGCAAGTGGGGCAGTGCTATACAGAACAATAGTTGTATCCTGCATGGACTAAACATTGCTATATGAGCTCATGGTTAGGCCCCTGGTCTTAATGAGCAAGAGTAACCATTTAACACTTACCTCATCATCATCTATTGTGATCATTTCTGGCTGGGGCACCGGTATATCTTTCACTTTGATGACTTCGAGTACTTCTATATCGTCAGCACTATCAGTCTTCTGGGCAACAGGGTCGGTGATATCATCTAGTTCTGTACCCGGGGGCAGCAGGGGCGGAGATTCAGGGGGCGGAGTCTGTGGCGGCGGGGGCGGGGCTTGAGGCAATGGCGGCTCTTCGTCTGGTAGCGGAGGCACTGTGGGGAACTCTGCCTCTTCTACGCATATTGGGAATTAATTGTGCAGTCTTTCAATACAAATGTAATAAACAAATAAGACGAGATATATCGGTAAGAGAAGAAGTAAATGCTATGAGCTAATAGGTCGTGACACTTTTATAAATTCACGTTGTAGATCTTGAAAAGGTAACAGCAAAACAAATAAAAATAAAAAAATGTTGTATAGTATAATCAATTATCCTTGCGCGCGGCAATATGTGTGGGTAATAACTTTACATATATAACTTTATGCGCGCGACAGGAAGTACAGTCAAATACAAATTTTTATTTATTACTCTGATAAGCTGTAACGATTGTAAATTATTTTGATTTAAAACATGTTATCCAGGTATTACTCAAACGCTATTAGAAAAATAAAATTATGATTCTTCGGATTTTCTGCTCTCAAACCAAAGATTTGATAAATCCAATTCCATGTCAAAAAAATTTCTCCACAAAGAACAAAACATATTCGATGATAACTGTACCCATGCAAAAAAGCGATAAGAACACATGTTGCTTCTTCTTTTTAATTAATGGCGTTGCCCTTGTGGATTTCGCCAGAATCCAGTGTTTCACTCAGTTTAATTCATATTTTAATATTTTATAAACTCTGCTTTTTGTGTGATAGTTATATTGAAGATAATTTTGTTGAATTTAAATCATAGACGAATGTTATTACTCTTAATATAATTACATAAGACGATTAGTAAAGGAGAGTTAACATATGTTAAGACGGATTTAAAATTCGTGGGTTTGGGAATATACAAGGGAATGACATCATTCAAGGAAGAAGGGTATTTAGGACAATTGAAAAAAATATGGTCGACTGTTCCTACGTCCAACCCGCATTCACAAATTGAGCTACTGTCTTTCATTCTAATAACACACTATGTTGATAGTACGACGACTGAAGCGTCACTGTCATACAAACGAAAACTGTGTCATTACAAGCTCACACAAACAGCGTCGCGCGCACAAATGACTTTAACTATCTTATATCTAAAGCCATAAAATATTATGCACAGATAAAATTGCAATTAATAGAATATACTTCTCGTTCGAAACTAGTATTTTAAAAAGCTATGATTACTGATTATTTGTATAGATCTATTCAACACTCACCACCTCCGCTGTCCAATTCCATTTCAGCAGTTTCTTGTGTAGATGTATTGTTTTCTGATGATGGAAACAAAGTCAACTTCTTGCGCTTGTATGCTTTCATGGCGTTTGGGGCCAGCATTTGCAGCATCGCGATCTTGCTGTCTTGCTCAGATATAGGTGGCATTCCAAATAAATGCGCCTCCTAGATTAATTACACGAAATAAGTTAAATATTATTGATTTTTATATGGGAGAAATAATTCATTTAAATATGGATATTCATTTAATATAGTTAACGAAAATAAATGCAGTTTTTTTTTTCTGGTAGTGTTAAATATACTATTACCAATAATATCACTTTTATGCTTATCATGTTGTTGTTTATTTGTGTAATTTGAGAATAAAATTGTATTAATTATAAGTATATTTGACATGTAAAAAAAAACAGCGCGTGACGTCACACCCCTTCTTAATCATATCTTAACCTTGAACATTCTACCTTCTGCATATATACAACAATATTAGTATCAGAGCCGTAAAGTCATTGCAACCCCATGACAGAAGTGGCGTTTACACTTCTTTAACATTTTACTTAATGAATGAATGATATTTTTAGGTACACGTATTTTATGATTAACTATATTAAATATATAAAAAAAAGTTGCCTAAAACGCAGGTGCATAGACAACTTTTTTTCTATAGGGATAAAAACATGTTGTTTGGTGTTGAAGTTTTATTGGGAATTACACAGTAAGTGATTATTACCCCTATGGAAACATGTTTGGTGTTGAAGTTTTATTAGGAATTACACAATAAGTGACTATTATATAGTGAATGTGTATTTTCATGTATACAACAAATATTTCAGTTGATTATATGAACCTTATATTAAATCTAGTATGCAAACCTCTTTGTAACGTGAACTAGCAGGCACATTAAATCCGGGGAAGTCCAGAATCTTTTTAATGTCAAATTTATCTTTGGAACCGGGCTCACACACTTCGCCTTCCTCCTCTTCAGGATCTTGAATGGCAGTGCCCTAAAACATATAATAAGAATTGTGATATAAATTTTCATCACCTTTATACAATTCAATAGATAGAATTATACTACTGTTTGTCACACTGTTTGTTTATGATACCTTACAATTATATGTAATCGGGTGTTGTTCGTGCATTTTTTAAAACTATTAATTTACCTCTACGTTTCGGCTACGTTACAGCAGCCGTGGTCACGGGGAGACTGGAGAACTGGCGGGCGTCGTCTTCTGATTTTAGTTGAGGCGTGAGGGTAATCCGGTAATAATGTTTTTAACAGATTTTCAGATGTACCCTACACTTGATTTTATTCTATGTAAAGGTGGCGACACACTGCACTTACGGTATCCGAGAATATTGTTCGTGGTTGTTTGCGATCGCGACACTTACACATTTTTATAACCGGATTCCACGTTGGTGAGAGTTTATATCCACTTTCCCGGGTGAAATTGTTGTTTTTTGATTTCAACCGCTTCACATCTGATACGTAACGGTCATCGTGAGTTGGACAGTGTACAGCGTGCCCTTTATAAAGTGCATAATGAGTGTGTGTCCGAGCTATCGTACAGTGACTTTGAGTTATGTGATCGCGTAACGTATCAGCAAGCAAGCCGAATTTTCGAGCTGTCGTGATAAATACTAGCGATTACGACTCCAAAATACTTGCTCTGTTGCAAGATGATAACATATATAAGCCGGTATCGTACAATCCAACTGCGAGAGTTACAAGGAGAATACGTGCTGTTATCAGGGACTATAAACACCTTTTCACCGAGGACATCTTCGAGAACCTATACAAGTCGAAGATAGTGCAACCACCAAAATTATACGGATTGCCGAAAGTACATAAAACCAGCGTTCCACTGAGACCAATTGTGAGTCAGATTGACTCACCTACTTATTATTTGGCAAAACACGTTGCTTCCGTACTGCAACCGCTTGTGGGCACTACAACATCCTTTGTGAAGGACTCGCGTCATTTTGTACAGATCCTTGATGGTACAAAACTGGATCCGGATGACGTAATGGTGAGTCTTGATGTTGAGTCGCTGTTCACAAAAGTTCCAGTTAAGGACTGTCTAGAAGTTGTTAGGATGAAACTTAGACAAAACGATATACCGGAAGGGTACATGGTTCTATTACGGAACTGTTTAGATGGCAGCTATCTCCGATATCGCGGCAAACATTACCTTCAAATTGATGGTGTCGCCATAGGTAGCCCCGTAGCGCCACTTTTGGCCAATATATAGATGGAACATGTCGAGTCATTGATAGATTACCAGTCACATGGGATCCGTATGTGGTAACGGTATGTAGACGTGTTCTGTATCCTGAAGGGCGACAAACCGGAGATTGAGCAGTTCCTTACACACGTCAATAATATCCATCCGAATCTCAAGTTCTCCTATGAGTTAGAGAGTGACAAAACCTTACCCTTTCTGGACGTTAAAGTCATGGTGCAAGCTGATGGGTCCCTGAAACACACTGTCTACAGGAAACCAACACACACAGACAAGTACCTCCACGCTTCATCTCATCATCATCCTCAACACCTACGTTCTGTGGAGACAACTCTTATTAACAGGGCTAACGCATTATGTAATACTGACTTCTTAGCAGATGAGTTGTCCCATGTACAGGACGTGCTAAGGAAAAATGGATACAGTGCAAGGAGGTCATACCCTATCCGAAGATGTAAGGAAAGACTACCTAAGGTTCCCAGGCAACGGGCATTTTTAGGCTATGTTAAGGGGGTAACGGACAAAATTGGTTCCATTTTGAGGAAAAAAATTTCTATAGACACCATTTTTACTCCTTTATCAAAAATGTCACACCAATTGCGATCACCAAGGGATAGTATTCCTTACCAAAAACCTGGCGTTTATAAAATTGACTGCAGCTTCATATATCGGACAAACGAAGCGGACTATTGCCGAACGTATAAGAGAACTCATGGCAGCGGTCAAAAATCGTCAAGTGGAGAAGTCCGCGATTGCAGAGCACTTATTATCATCTGGATCAAACCACTGGATCGAGTTACATACACCTCATGTCCTTTCCACTGAACGACATTACTATCCAAGTATTGTTTGTGAAGCGATTGAAATCAAAAAACACAACAATTTTAACCGGGAAAGTGGATATAAACTCTCACCAATGTGGAATCCGGTTATAAAAATGTGTAAGTGTCGCGATCGCAAACAACCACGAACAATATTCTCGGATACCGTAAGTGCAGTGTGTCGCCACCTTTACGTAGAATAAAATCAAGTGTAGGGTACATCTGAAAATCTGTTAAAAACATTATTACCGGATTACCCTCACGCCTCAACTAAAATCAGAAGACGACGCCCGCCAGTTCTCCAATCTCCTCGTGACCACGGCTGCTGTAACATAGCCGAAACGTCGAGGTGAATTAATAGTTTTAAAAAATGCACAAACAAGACCCGATTACATATAATTATAATGTATACAAATCGTGTGAGTTTAAAAATATGTTTATGACACCGTTTTGAAATTTGTTACATTTTAATTTTCTATTCATAATATAATACATATTCTTCAATAAAATAAAAACTAATAGATTTTTATTTATATTAAATAGGTACTAACACTTGAATCAAACATTGTGATTCCTGAGTGAGATATCTTAGCCTCTTCCAGCCATCCCGGGGGATAACCCAACACTCGCATTCTGTATATGTACAATGGAAGTTCATGTCTCTTTAAGCCGAGTGCATGGCGGAGTTGTCCAGATATTCTACCTGGTATCAGATGTCCATATTTCTGCTCATCTTCTATATGATAACGGCTGAAATTTTGTAATATGTAAAAGTTATTAAAAAAGAAAAAAACCTCTTTTCTGTGTTCTGAAATCATGTTTAAATGTTACTTTAAAATTATTATAAGAACCAAATTCAAGTTGTCTGATATAAGTAGAAAAGTTTAATAATCTCACCCTACTCGAGCAATACTTTTTCGTTTTTCTGCTATTCTAACATTATTTCTTGGCAGTCTGCAATCCCTGAGTTGGTGAGCTCCATCACAATTGAAGCAAAGAGGAGTACGACGCAATACAGGTGGAGGAGATGTTTCTTTGTTGGGTTTATTTGATATTAAAGCTGATGCCTACAAACATTTTGTTAAAAATTGAGTATTATATAATTAAATTTAATGGAATTATCAAAAATCTTATAATTGCCTGGGTATATGCTGGTACTTCTTCCACAGTGTTTGAGCAGGGTGCAGTATCCACAAAGAATAATCCACTCTGCTTATTATTATCATCATTTTCAAATTCATCATCATTCAAATCCTCAGGCCAAATATCCAATTCTATATCAGTTTCATTATCTACCTCAGATGAGTCATTTTCATGTAATTTAATAAGTTTTAACATAAAAGTCTTTAATTGTCTTTTATAATTAGCAGCTAACTTCTTATCTCTAAATCGTACGGAGATTAACGGAGTCCTATTTTCACATCCCACTACTCCTAAATCACTAAACGATGTTGGGGAATCAATGTCAATGTCTTCATTGAATATTGTAGTTTTGTTGCCATCACCACTTATTAACTTTCCGTTATTAGTTTCATCAGTTTCTTGGGTTTTTGTACTATCATTAATTAGATTTATGTTACCTTCAAAAGGAGTACTATCAACCGAAATTTTCCCTCCATTATATGTATCTATACACAAACGTGACTCCTTTATTTCTTTATCACTTGAATCAAGTAATATATCTTTTTGTTTAGTACAACTATTATCGTCATCTATATTAGAGACTAAATTAATAGTTGATTCTGTATCCAGACGTTTATATTTAGCATCTTTTGTTTCATCTTCACTACTGACTTCGATATCATCATTGTCCAATTCATAAATTATATCGTTTACTCCTGCCTTTCTTTTGGCCATGATAACAATATCTGTACATCAAATAGATCTAACAAAAGACAATTAGGTAATTATTTGAAATAATATAAAGTAAAATTGCAATTGAAATAACTCGCCACAGTACCAAATACATCACAAGTAAATTGTAGATATTTTGACAGCAAGTTTTTTTAAGTAGTAGCAGTTCGTCTATGAGACACGAAGGAACTAAGCCATACAGCCAAATCTTTGTTGCAATTTTTTTTTAATTTCTATTTTCAAGTTACCATTATCAATAAGAAAAGGAATCAAAATAGCATACAATCTAATACATACGTGTAAATTAAAGACCGATACATATTCCTTCGATATTCAGTGTCGCAACAAAAGAAAACTGTGTCTATGACAACTATCAATTGAAAATGCCAAAAAATACTTTTTTTTTTTTTTTTTTTTTTTTTTTTTTTTTTTTTCAGTATGGACTTTATTGGTCTGTATTTATCAACGAGCAAAAGTAAATAATAGATCTGTAAATGTCATTTTGATGTCATTTATTTCGAGGTTGTTTTGTGGTTGTTGTTCGGGTTTTATTTTGCTGGATTAGATTAGATTTAGAAAATGACTATTTTCTTTAGAAACTTAGTCCAAAACAATGTCAAAATAATTTTAACAAGAAATAGTGATTCACAATTATTTACTGTATCATATAGAAATCTAAGCATTTTGCCTTCCGTTTATGGTTAGTCAGTCCTAGTTATTTTATTATATATTCAATGTGTTATTTAACATTATAGCTAAATTTAAATAAATTTTAGATGGCAAAGAGGATCCTGCCCCGAAATTCTTTTCATCAAACGTTCAAGTACTACTAAGGCGTTTAACACGGCCTGACTTCGCCAAAGTTTTTCGGAAAAGAACTAACAGTGGACGAGATGTACTCAAGACACCATCTTATAAATTTCTAACAGATGAGGAACTTGAAGCTGAAATTGCTAAAGCTAACAAAAGAGCTGACAGGCTTCTACAGATGCCACCTATTGTGAAAGTATGACTAATTATTCTGTTAAAATTACATCTTGAAATACGTAATAGTGTAAAATCATGTATGATGAGCAACCAATCTCGGTTTAAACTAAACTGAATGTTAAACAAAACTAATATCTACACTAAAAAGCAAACACATAGTAACCTGCGAAACCAAAACCTGATATTTAGAGTGGAAAATCTTTATATTTTTCCAAATAAAAACATTTCCGTATAAGTTGACCAAGGAACACCTTATTTCTTACCATGGACGTTTATAAGAATAATTGTTTGAAACAAATCAAAGTTTTTCTGCTCTAAAGAACAATTATGGTTTTGCGGGTTACTACACGTTTGCTTTCCAGCATCAATATATATGTGTGTGTGTTTTGTATACTACTGATTAAAACGCCTTCTTAGTAATTTAATGTTGCTTACAGATACACCAACCAATTAATGAAATATTGTCTGAAGACCCTGCTTTGATTGGATATGATAATGTAAAATATTTATTTACTGACATAACTTTTGGGGTAGCAAATGCTCACAGAATTATTGTAGAAAGGTGATATATTTTGATTTTTATTGTGACATAATAAACTTTTGATTAAAGTTCTATGATAAAAGCATAAATATACTTTTAATCATGTACAGGTAAAAAAAAGTATAAACATAATCTCAGTAACACTGAGATTAATAATTTATTTGATTGTCAGTTGATTTTTTATAGTTAATCTTAAAAAATGGTAAAGATTTATTCTTTTGCATTATTTTATTTTAGGGATCCTGATGGCATTCTACGCAGTAGTGATCATGATATTAGAAAGCGATTGAATCAGGTAGTTACATATAATCATATAAGTTTTTTCAAATTTATTTTGTGCTTCATAAACATTACAACCAATGCATCGCTTTATACAAATAAATGTTAATTAAAAGATTCCATCTAAAGTCTCAAGTTACAAATCTATCATTTCATATTAACTTTGAAAGGGAAATTAGATTTATCACAATAACAGTAAGTGTTTAAATATTTCAGACATATTTTCCAATTAAGGGTCGTAAGCTTCGTGAGCCAATCATGTTCACGGACAAAGACAGACTCAATAGCCTTTTAGAAAGTGAAAAATACGAGTTTGTGTTGGACAGAGCCTGCATACAGTACGAACCTGATGAGCCATCTTATCAGAAAATAACCAGCATTACATACCAGCACATTGATATGAACAAAAACTATGACATGTTAAGGTATGTTTAAAATTTTAAATACAAATATATGGTAATTTTTTTAAACAATACAAAAACTCAATATAATTAAGTTCATTTCTAATAGAGATAATCAATTTTGAGGTTAATGACTAAAACTGAATTTAAGAAAAATATTTATTCATTAACAAGATGAACCCGAGTCAAAAATACATAATATTTGTTATAGTTAAGTTTAATTGTTACCACAACAATAAAATGTCAAACGATTACTGAATACATATTTTGATTATCAACTAATGGCACCATACCCATGCTATGTGAAAAGATATTAATCATCATTCCCTATTAAAGATGTTTTTTTTTTGTGAGTATCAAACATCCAGTTGCACAAACATTCATTAAGGTTTAATGATGCTTTAAAACTCTAATGAATGTCAATTTTGTTTGGAGTAATGTCACTTTATAGTAATGAAAATATTAATGGCCGTTTGTGCAACTGGCTGTTAGACAATTAAAAGAATGTATCATATCAAAAAAATCAAAATTACTGTCAAAACAAATTAAAAGAATCTAGGAAGAAACTAAAGCTCATTTTCAACCTTCAAAAAAGGAGTTTATCAATTTGAGGTGTATGTATGTAATTGAATATCCTTGGAATGGCGTCATATTCATATATGTCTGTATGATCTTTTTACCATGTGTGCCAAATTTAATGAATCTATGTCTTTATTTATGTTTGTCTGCCATATGTGTTTTGATTTTTGAAAATAAAAATTTGTGGCATTATTTCTCTCTTTTCAGTAGTTTGTCTTTATTACAATTTTTTGTAGTTAGTTTTTTTATGATTACAAATGTACTTAAGTCTGTATATAATTTCGAGTTATTGCACTTATCAAAAGAACGGCAGTACTGTCTTCTTACATATCTAAATATTCAGATCAACAAGGCACTTCGGCCCCATGGCGTTCTACATTACCTGGCATCAGAGCATAGACAACCTTATGCTGGAACTCCTTCAGACCAGCGCTGTCAGAGAAGCGGTGCTACTCACAGCGTTACGTCACGAGATACACGGTGATCTGGCTAATGGAGAACAGGTTCAGGCGCTCGTTCATCAGGTCAGTTATTTGGTTATTTACAGGCTAGCCAACAATAGGGAATATGCACATTTTTGGAAAATGGTTTTATATGATAATTTACATCGATATATAACTGTAAAAAAATACCCGGCACCGAAAATCTAGAATTTTGTAACATTAATCATTGATGAAAATAAGTAATAGCTACGTGCAATTTAAACACCGGAAATTTTGGTGCGCTCGTCGTGACGTCAAAGTACACGACTAGAGATATGACATTTTAAATCAGTATGGATTTTGAGTGATTGATTATTATTCAATTACCCAAATCGATTAACAACTAGTCGATTTTTTAAAGTATAAGAGACTTTTTTAATATATCATATAATTTACCAAATTGGTGAAATAAAAATAAAAGCCAAAAACATCATTTAAATTGTTATGAGTTGTTTATTTTGCGACATATTACATTGATGTTATTGCATCGATGTTAATTTTTTGTAACAACGACATCCCTATACGTGTACATTTTCGTCACATCCGCTCTGACAAGTAGCATGGCGTTTAAATATTTTGAAGTTACCGAATTTATTTTGCACTTTTGAATAATTATTTTCAAGACGAAAACGAACTAATGTTGAAAAATATTTAGAAAGACTTTATTCTTAAACAATAAAGACTGTAATATTATTTATTTAAACCTTTTTTGAATCAGACGCATATTCCCTATTGACAAAGTTTAGAAATTACACTCATTAAGATATTGTTGTAATATTACACAAACCAAAGGTTAAACACTGTAAATACAATTGTATTCCATAAAAAATACTAAATAATAATAAAATTAGTTTGGCGATCAGGCAGGTTTCTAAAAAGTGTTTTAAATTAATAATTATAGGCGCTGCTTCCCACTCAAATTATTGATTCATATAAGTAAACCTCATTATGTATCCAAAACTATGTTTAAACGCATAAACCATGACTCGGAGGGTATTGACATGACGTAATTTTTTTGGGGTTAACAGAAGGTTACGGTAAACAAGAATTTGACAGCTGAAACGTATGATCAAAATTTATAATCACATAGTGATACCGCGTTAAATATTGTTAAAAAAATATCGTCTAGAGAGTTGTAGTTCTTACTAGTCTTAAAGCTCGAATCGAAAACGTCAAAAAAACTTACACTTAGCCCTCTGATTGGTCAGGATCAGCCTAAGAAATTTAGCCTTATAAGCAGGTACATAGTATACATCATATCAGTCGTATAATCTATACTATAAGATCGAAAATTTTATATCCATTTTTATTATCAACGTGTAAAGCAAAGAGGTAGTTTCTAACTTCAATTGATTGTTTGTAGAGGATAATCTTAAGAAATACTAATCTGATCATAAAAATTCTATAATCTACGGGAAATATATGTGATAATATTAGGTCCTTACATATGAAATTGGTGTTTGGTATGGGAGAAATAAAAAGTCGAATATTTTTTTATATCATATATTTATTTAATCAAAGTATAAACCATTGTTATCTATGCACCTTTGCCATCCCATAGGTAGTTCATTAACCCATTACTAAAAAAAACCATTCGGACGGGGATCAATAAAATCTTTTAAGGCGATTTGCACTGCCCTATCGGAGTTGATTTTTCCCTTGCAAATTTCGAAAAAAATAATCTGTTAGAGCAAGGTCCGGGGAGTACGATGGATTTCTTAGACATTCCAATTGAAGCTCTTCGAATTTGGTAGCCGTCTGTTGTGCTGGCCAGTACGACAAAACGCCAATTTCATGTGTAAGGACCTAATATTATAAATTGATAAGGGTGAAGTCGCGGGACAGCTAGATGTAAAATATATGTAAATCATTTTCAGATTCTTCCTACCCCAATACAGCTATCGAAACCGGACCGCCTCACAGAAGAAGATATAGAACTTGACAATAAATGTGTAGAATGTATAGAGAAATACATAGTCGGTAATTCTGCGATGAAGAGCCAACAGGAGTTGGCGTTGCAGGGCTTCAGGGAATATTACCAACAGATGATTGAACTTAGCAGAGGTTTAAAGAAGGCACATGGTAATGCGTAAAAAATAGGTTAGGAATTATTTACTTTATGTATGAATATAGTTAATATAAATCAAAGTTGTATGGTTTTACTTGTTATCCAATATTTGCAATCCCTTTCAATTTGACATTTGAAAGATATTTACGTCACACCACGACTATTTGACTTGTGACAGCGATTGCAATTTTTTTTTTATTGATTCTGATGACGCGCGTTGAAGGGAACTTTACGGAATGAAGAAGTATTTAAAAAAACAATATCTCCCGAAATCAAACTAGATGTAGCTACGTTACTTTCTTGATTTCTCCATGACAACCCTTCCGGTTTTCTTTCATGTATAAAATTAAGTAATTTAATTTTCAAATCTCAATAAACAACTCATGTTCTATTTGTACTTTATCTAAGTTAAGGACTTTGCAAATTTCAGTTTTTTAATGTGTTACTTAAAAGGAACGGAAATGACTATCATTGGTCCATCCGTTCTTGCAAAAATTAACTTTTGATAGAGTCGCCATCTAGTGAGATGCTTTTTTAATGCTTTTTTTTTTTCTTAAAATACTTCCTCATTATATATAAACTTCTTGCGTTAAACCAGACAAAAAACAAACTTTGGCTACTATATCATAAAACAAATATTTTTGACAAATTTCGTAATGTCAAACTTCATTATATAAATCAGATTTTTTCTACAAATAAGAAATACAAACTTTTATATGCCGTTTTATAGAAAGCCACGTAACTTTACACCACTTCTAGTAGCTGCAGAAAAGAAATCGATTAAAAGTGGTGTTCACCATGCGATATTTACTTCGAGGTTTGATAAATACGTTGGCGATTGGAAGAGTGATTTGAAAGAAGGTAACCTAAGCTTATACCCAGACACTGATTATATAGTACTTGTTATCTGTTAAACCAAACTATTCAACTATTGTAGCATAAAACTTCGAAACCGTAATAAACACACTAAAACAATCGCAGTAAATAGTTATTTAAGATAGAGTGCGGAAAGTAAGGTTTTACGAATAAGGGCCAAATTGAAAACACGAGCGTAGCGAGGGTTTTCATTGGCGCGAATTCGAAAAACCTTTTACGCTCAAGTTCATTACAACATTTTTCAATGCTTTTTGCGAGGAAATAAAACAAATATACAGGTTAATAAAGCTGTATGTATTAAAGGTAAAAATTATTTGTTAAAATTAAACGTGATATTTGAACATGTTTTCGTGTTATACATTTTTATTTGAAAATTTTCGTTCTAGGCTCCTTGAAATACTTTTGCCTCTAAAGTTTGACATACTTTCATCAATTTTTTTTAAATTCCTTTGGTGTTCGGCCAAAAAAAAATTAAAAAAATACTTTTAAGCAGCACGTGTGCAGTAAAGGATTACAGTACATTTTTATTTAACACGTGTTTTAAAGACTCACTTTCGGTGTTTCGGTGATTAAAAAAATAGCGCTTTATGAGCAACTGCATTGAAAAATAAATTTCTTACTCTCATTTTCGATAGAAGGCCGTCTGAATCGCTGTAGGTATATCTTCTCCTCTTCTCGGTATAATTGTATTAGTGTTAAGAATTTCTTATGAAAATTTAAGCTTAACCCACATGCGTTATAGGTGTGTACGTTAACGTCCAGAATTTGATTATACGGGCCAATCGCGCAAGTCGCGAATTTTGTTTGATTTTTCGCGCCAAATTTCATTGAGTCGGCGCTGAATATTAGCCTTTGTAGTTACTCTTATTAAATCATTATCATCATCACCAGCTTATTAATATCCGCACTGCTGTGGAACTATCCCTTCCCGGTGGGTGAATTAAGGCCCACCAGTGGACCTAGTATGGGTGTTAACGACAGCAAATCCAGCCGGGCCGGGATTATTTCAATAAAGATATTGCTAATTTTAGTCTATCCGACTAAGCGGAAAACATTTGACCACTTGATAAAACTATAATAAATATACTATGTTGGAGTCAGTGGAGAAGCGTGTCTTAGATCAAAATTTGTTGGTGGGCCCGAATTAAGGGAAAACAATTTTGCTTACACACGCTAGGTGCTTCTATAGCCTGAGGGCCCCGTAACATCGATACGACGGTAGCTACGCCCCTGTTCGGGGTACCCACTATTTCACAGATATTTGACGCTTTCTTATTTTTTAGGTAAAGGTACGTTCCTGACTATCACTGGAAAACTATACGAAGGGGACTGGTATAAAGGTTTTAGGTGTATATTTTTAATTATTTTTGTCATTTTTGACAAAGATAGGTCGATGAGGAATATTTTTTCGTCCTCTCTAAGGTTTAGATTCGAACTTTTCTATATTGAGTCTGGATATTGTGGTTCTTTCGTTATTTCTCTTTCTCCATAGTACGGAGGGCCTTAGTTAGTTATCTTATTATCTCAATACTGTATGTGCGATGTCCTAAATATTTATAGCAAATTAAAATATTACAAAAATCTATACCACGAAAATTACTACAGTAAAATAGTTTCGACTAAAATAAAGTTATTAATGCATCAATGATATAATAAAGACGGCGTAATTTAACGCTAGTATAGTGACAGAGTATTAGAACAGTATTACGTTTTTACTAAAAAAGTCCTTTCATCAGACGATTTTAAGACTTAGCCAGTTTACAATCAAATTAGAATCGATCACAGAAAACTGGCGGTTAGTGCCAACTCTTTTTAACATCGAGTAAATTTGGCACTGTCCCTGTTACCTGGCAATCAATAAGGGGTGTGTGGGACTCTACTTCGTGAACCCGCTCGGTAGTGAGTCAGTGTGTCTCCGGAGGGCTACCCACCAAAACCCTTATAGTGCTCCCTCTTGTGGGAGAGAGTGCACCGTTAGTGTTATTTACCCTGCTTGGTACATACACTTGCTCATACTTACATATAAAAAAATAACAAATTTACTGTGACTTATGTCAGACACGGCTTTGGTACACTCAGCAACCGTCTTGAAAATGGTAAATTCAGCCTCGAGTACAGGGGAGATTGGGTTCGAGGTAAACCAGAAGGCGTTGGCTGGTGGTACTATGCTAGTGGCGACGTATACTTCGGCTTCTGGAAGAAAGGGAAGAGGCACGGATACGGCAAGATGTGGTATGCCAACGGCACCCACTATGTGGGCTATTGGAACATGAACTTGAAAGAAGGGCTTGGTATGTTCATTCAAGGTGAGTGTTTAAGAACTTTAGCATCAATATTCTCATGATTTGCTGTGAGAACGCCTTGTTTGACAAAAATATAGAAAGCGTTGAAAAGTACTGTGCCATAGATATTAATATCTAGTCGTTTCAATGTCTACAGAGAACGGCAACCGCTACGAAGGTCGATGGCAGAAAAACTTGAAGCACGGTCTTGGTCGTTTCTATCACATGCATACTGGCCAGTTGCAAGAGGGCTGCTGGGTGCACGATCTTTGCGTCAAATCCAAGATGTCCGACATCATCATCCGGCAATGTTGCGATCTGCCTACCCAGTACCCGATACCGTTGGTATGTTTATTTTTCAGCATTTATTCCCTAGATACTAAATACTTCCGACTAGATATTTATGTACCTAAAGTCAGGAACATATGAGCTTAAGCAGAGTCCAAAATCAATTGGGGAAATTTGACATATTGCGTACAGCTGTAATTATGACACTGCAGTCAGTGTCACTTGTACAGTTACCAGTGTTAAGATTATCGAAGCGCCCAAGGTGATCAAAAAGATGTCACACAGAAGTTCACTGTTATTTAGGTAACGAGTCCCATGTTGATCTATGCAGTAATCATAATATCTTGGCACCCTTTCTTCACTTTTACCTACTAACAATTCGATTCGAATAGTCAAATCAATTCGAAAGACTGTTAGGTTCTTCGATGACTATGACGCCGACAGTAATACGTTACCTTAGTTCACTTTTTATAGATGTGCACATAAACTCGATCCATTTCTTTGAATTTTGGGAAATATAGAATGGGCAGACTTATGCCTCAATAATATGCAAATAGCTCTACTAGTTAGACTGTTCACTTATACCTACCACTTAACGATAGGAATATTACATTGCCTTCCAAGCGTTGGACAGGCCAATCCGAATTCATCTAGCATTGGACAGAGCAATGCTGATTGATCTGTTAAACGTGTGCAGAATTTTCGTCATGCGGTTACCCAAGCCAAACAAAATAAAATTTCAATAATTTTTGCATTTAGAAGGTAATACCTACTTAATTTGTGTTTTCCAGGAACAACTGAGATATTCGAGGAAGATTTTGGAAGAAAGCGAATTCTGGTTACTACAAAAGATTGGGAATATAGACAAACACCTTAAAAACTGTATTGATTAATTTAATAAACAGATCATACAATTATTAACATACATATATTTAATTAACTAAAGGTAATCACGGAAGAGATGTATATGCGTATCCACGGTTAATAAGACGGCCTACAGAGAACTTAAAAAACATATAATTTCAGTTCTTCCCTAGCCTAGGAACCTAGGATCAAGAAATTTGTTGAACCTTGGACCAACAAAGGCCGAACTCTAGGACGAAGAAATTCCTAATGGCTTTTTTCTCTACAGTCGTAGTTACGCACATACACAAAGGTAATTTACTTAAACTTACTTTTAAAGTGAAAAGGCTAACATTGTGAGACAAAATAATTACGACATTATTTTAAGTATATCACATCAGTACTTCATTTAAATTAAGTAATATTAAAATATTGCTCTTTGTACACAAAACAGCACATAAGCTTACCACAAAATAAAAAAAATCAATTGATTCTGACATTTATTATAGGACATTAAGTTTTAAAACCAGAGTTATTTGACAGTTTAAAATAAGCTCATGTTCTGTTGACTTCTTTACACGTAACGTGATTAAAAAGGTAAAATAAATATATTAAGTAAATATGTGTCCATTAACAAATGTAGCTATGATCAGTTGAGCAATTCAGTATATAGATAGGTACCTATCATTACATAATCACACCTTTATTAAAGGTGTAGTAAAGGCACTATTATGAAACCGATAGAGAATATATTAAATATGTATAATTCATATCTAAGTTACGAAATTATCTACACCAGTACAATGTCTTTGCATAATACAATTGTCAATTAATGTTTGTTTTTAATTTTGAACTAGCTTAAACCATTGTAGGTCAATTCATCATTTCAATCTAGAAGAGTGCTCGTCCCGGAGACCCTTTAAATTGACATATTTTTGCAGTATGCCGATTTTGACAACCTGTCTGTCCCATAACAGCCTAATGTGTATGGATTTTTAGGCATTTTTGTGTATTTCGACCTTTTTTTTAAACGTATTTATCCGGCAATACTACTGGCCAATCAGAACGATACAACTAGCACTTCCTCGGACGGTCCGCACGCCTGCGTGAGTGGCTCCGATTGGGGTGTCAAGTGTGACTTACAGGGAATCCTAGATCGTTGCATTTTACACCTTACAATTAGTATGACGAAGTTGATTATTGATTATACAATCGGTAAAACATAAAGTGTTTTATTATCTAATCATAATGTTTCTTGTTGAGGTAATCTTTCGTGCGACAGTCCAAATATCCAAAACTATTCCGGTGAAATTAAATATAGATGTAAAAATATTATACATTATCATATACATTGCTCGGTTTCCAAATAGCTACAGACCTTATATTGTAATGTAAACCTGAAACAAGAAAAATAATAAACATCCCGATTCTTATCCCTTTGCATAAAATATAAATCATGTCATAATTCCTTTTACATACTACTATTTACAAATTACAACTTTTTTTCAGCATAATTTCTCTTGTCATAATCATATTTAACTACAACATCCTAAGTTATAAAATTAAAAACTTGTGTAAGGCGTTCATTGATCGCTGCCGCGGTACTTACGCTAGCTTTTCTAACCTAACCTAATCGATTTCGGTTCATTCATGTCTAGTAATACGATGCGAATAGAAATAGAATTAATTTATGCAAGATAATATCATAATAATTATGACAAAACTGTTATATACATTAAGGATAAAAACATTATGCAATAACCGCTTTTAAGGTTAGTATTATTGTTCACTATTTTAAATTTGAAGTCGGTTCCATTTTTTTTTAGTTTTTATTTCATGCATTTTAGTGATATTTTGGGTTTTGGGGTAACAAACATCGCGCATAGTTAATGCAAATTTAAGACTTAGGTATATAGTTTTCTCAAAGAATCCATTGCCAGATCTGGACCAAATTAAAATGGGACCAAATGGCAAACACTAGCTTTCAAATAAAGAAAGAATCATCAAAATCGGTCCACCCAGTAAAAAATGTACAGTCGAACTTATGAGAACAGAGAACTACCTCCTTTTTGAAGTCTGTTAAAAAAAAGAGATCTCAGCCACACCACGGAGATAATATTTACGTACCGAAAAACGCAAGTGCTCTTTACGGATTTTTTTTTTTTTAAATAATAATACAACTGAAAAACCGCAAGTGTTCTTTATGGAAAAACAAATTAATAATAATACATACACACAACAGCAGATAGAACGAGTAAAAAAAAAGACTTGTCAAACTTCTCTCAATAAGCCACATAATACTAAAATGTCAAGTTCGATGACTAACGCTATTAAAAAATGCCGTTTAAAACGTCCATTTACAACATGTCCTTCGTTTAATCGCCACGGTGAATCTATTCGTGGCTATAATAAAAGAATAAACAATAGATTTCGCATTGGAGGTCGACGTCAGTGCATGGCTAGATAACGAGTTTATCGTTACCTAAACATTTTTTCCCCTACTTAGTTGCTTATTTAACAGTTATCTCTTTTTCTATACTAATATTACAAAGAGGATGATTTGATTTATTTGCAATGAATATACTTTGAACTACTGGACAGATTTTAAAAGTTCTCATTACGGAAAGACTTATACGCGGGTGATATCCTATTATCTATAATATATAAAGCTTAATTATTAATATTATAAATGTGAAAGTTTCTTTGTTTGGATGTTTAGATGTTTGGATGTTTATACGTCAATCACGCCGAAACTACTGAACGGACTTTAATGAAATTTGGTATACAGATAGGGTATTAGCTGACTTAGATAATAGGATACTTTTTATCCCACTTAACATTTCCCTAGGGTCTAAGCGGGCGAAGCCGCTGGCGTAAGCTAGTAGGATTTAATTTAAGCAGGCAAAGTCGCGAGAATAGATAAGAGCTTCAGCGCTTATCCACTACGCCACCGAGCTACTGATTAGAAATTATGAATGAAATTAAAAACTCTAGAAATCATAAATGAAAAATTAAACCGTGCACTATTTAAAAATCTAAATAAAAACACTTGATATTTATAAAATCAAAAGTAATTAAGTGTGTAAATTCAACCTACTAAGTAGAATATGGCGCATGATAATGAAGGTGACTTTATAACAAAAAGTAACAACAGTTCGTTTGCTAATCTACCAAAGTGGGTAGGTATTATTAAGAACGAGGTATTAATTACCTCTATTGTATTCTGTGACACAAATTTATTCAGACTATTGGCCGGTTAGGAGATTCGTTGTCATGTTCATAGATAATAATCGATATTATTATAATTAGCAACAATTACAAAAACGACTGAACAATAAAGTATTGTCATTATTATTTCTAAGATCTGATGTCAACGACTATGAAGAAACTATGTATATAAAATTATATAAAGCCATATAAAAAAATATTATACTATGGACCAGTTTTACAGCTTCCGGTTAATTGCCATTAGCATAAACTGACAGCTAGTTTCATAGGAATAGTGTAGTTTCGGTAGTGAAAAGTCATGATTAATCGTGTGTTACATGACTTGAAACATGACCCGCCATTGTGTGACGTCACTGTGGCAATGGCTTTCAGATTAGTCAAAGATATGCTAAACAATTATAAATCTAATTCCTAGATGGCGCCGTTATTAGCTTATTTATATGTTTTTATTTCGTAATCGAGCGTTAGATGACACTGTTCTCGTTTCATTGACATCTTTTAGTTTTCAACTGTATGAATCCATTTTGTGTACACATCACAATAACGTGAATGTGACGGACAGCGTTTTTGCTGGTGTAGAAAAATTAAATTTTTCATTTTTTTTTAATTTTAAGGAAAGAAAACGTGTTTACTTTCCCGAAATATTTATTTATGGCTTTATTAAATTAAAATAAACAGTTACAAGTGTTATTTCAAATCAGAGTAGAATACCGTATGCTATTCCATTTTTAAATTAAACTAGGAAAAGTACTTAACGGGAGCCTGTGAAACCGGCCCTTAATATTATAATTACCTATTTCTTTTGTTGTATAATTTAAAAATGAGATTTCATAATTATTCACAGGTAATCTTACAGTACCTACACCTATTTGACATTTAAATAAGTACAATTTACAAGATCTAAGTACAACTTATATACAACGTATAAACATATAGGAATACGGAAGTACTTTTAATTCATACATTAGTTCATAACATTCCGACATGGAGAAATCATTTGGACATAAGGTGCTGATCAGACAATACGACTCTGATCTAGTAACGTCACATTATTCATACGGGCCTCGTGATCACCCATCTCTATTTGTTCTTTGAGCAATTCTAATTCTTTGATCCCTGTCACAGTCACTTCGTATTTATGCGTCGCTAGTGACATGTAGAAGTGTATTGCGAAAGCTAGAAATACTATCATTACGGGAATGAGTACGACACATGCGGACCAAGCAGCCGTCGCACTCAAATCATAAAACTTAACCCAGCAGAGTATAGCTATTTCTATAAGAAAGAGTATGAGTCCGAGGAGTGTGGAGAACGCCCATGCGATTTCAATATACCAGTGCAATCTCTCATGTGGAGATTCATGCACGAGAGGTATGATGTGCAAGTTGCCCACTGCTTCGATGTTGGGCAGAATGCATGTGCTGATCATGAGCGCCAACATGTGTACTGCTACCAAGAGAGTTGTGCATACCGTGAAAGCTACAAGCATTTCCGTGGGTACCTTTGTTGAGTTTGGTGGATTTAATTGGACTTCTACCATAGCCACCTGAGAAATTTAAGAAATAACGTTATTGTAATCTAAACGATACGTTAAACTACTTAATTTATAATAATATAATTATTGTATGTATGGGGGAGAGCATATTCCTTTTGATCTTCTAAGAATGGCATTTGTAAATGTCGTTTGGAAACTTTGTATCGAAAATAAAAATAATCTAACTCAGATCAAATTCTGCAATGATTACTGCTACTTCTTACATAAGTTAAAGTAACTGGCACAAAAGTACACCGAAATGCGAAACTTTTGTGTAAATTTAATAAAATCACCCAAACTTTCTTGAATATTAGTTTTAAGTCTTTGTTAATATTTGTAGTTTCCGCTTCCGGTTTAGTTTCTTTCGTGATGGCAACACTTAAAGCTTTATTTGTTTATCACATGTGCTAATGCTACCATTTACGCTGAGATTTGCGTAATATTCCCTGTTGTCAAAGTACGCAAAGAACATTTCTTACCATAGCAAATCCGGAAAGTAGAGCCGAGGTTTTACTAGAAGCTTTCAGCTTGGCGCGACTTAGTTGCAGCTTCCTCCATGACAGATAGGCCGGAGTGTGCAGCGCCTCTGCCGACTGAATTGGTGTTTCTCCAGACATCGGGCACTTATGCTGTGACAAGATAAATAAACCTTTGTCTCATAGATAATTGATATTATGATTTAAAGGAGCTACATCAGTCTTTAATTTCAATAGAGCATTCAAGTGACGAAATATTGAAGATTAGGAAGGTGAAAATAGGCAAACCACATAACAAGTATTTCGATAATAAAAAAATGCAGAGCTGACCTGATAATAATACAATTCCTTGTGCCTATAGATGTATTACAACCAATTTAAATGTCCTGATGGGGTTTAAAACCCTATTAGGCAATTCTCTACTAATAAGGCAACTTTAAACCTGTCGAATTTAGTTGTAATTTACTACTTACATAAAAGAATAAACAATTTTAATTTATAGAAATTATACTATTATTGTCTATTTAGATGTAATAATAATATGCGAAATAATTTTTTTTTTATTCCAATTTAATGACTCAGTCTGCTAAAAAAACTCAAGAACAATGTTTGATTACAGGTTTTTTAATTTCAATATTTATTTAGAAATAATTTCGTTTATTTGAAAGATTTACTACCTGTTTATAATATTGTTTATACTTTTTTAACTTGCGCAATAACAACACTGAAAGTAGATATGTCTCATAAGTCTTCCAATTCTGCAAATGAGACATGAAAGAGGTCTTTCACTGAGGTATTTGAGGAGCATTATTATGCTACACAAATATCTGATACATAGCCATTCATATTATATAAAACTCTGTAATATTAAAATCTATTATGTATTTGCCTGTGACAGTGACACAAATCAACAACTTCAATTGCAATATGTTCAAATAAATTTAGTTCCATAAGGCGTTTTGCGTTAATCTGGCGTTATTTTTGGTTAAATTATTTAATGGTACATACTTGCAATACGAATCTATAAAACATGGAAAATTATAAAAAATAACCTACTCACACCAAAACTTGCAAGTGTTTTAATATAAGCTAATTCTATCTCAGTGAAGAAAATTAAGGTTTTAATAGTTTTTAATCTTCTTACTCAAATTTTTTAAGTTTGAATAAACTAACATAAATGTTTTTATACGGGTTTTCGCGATAGAGCCGCTGATCTCTAGAACTACTTTGCAAATAGCAAGAAAAGAGAGACTTTTATTTTTATAGTAAGTATAGTCTATCAAAAAACGCAAAAAAGAAAACACTTCTTTTTATGATAGCTCTTCTCAATACAGTTTTCAGGTGTAAATTTGTGAATATACTAGCTGTATTCCCGTGACTTCGCCACCATAAATTGTTGTCTTTTCTCTTGCGTATGACGTCGATTTTTATTTTAAAACCAATCCAGCTTTTGTATTCAATTCAAACAATGATGAAATCATTCCATTAGGTAATATTATTATAGACTAAAAAGAGTTTCAGTAATGCTTCTTTGTTAACAAGACAACAACTGAATATTATCATAAAGACAGAATAGAAAATGCATTTAGAGATTCCAAAAAAAAAAAAATATCATCACTAATTTATAATTTTAAAAGAAAAATGCTCTACTTCAGTTCTAAGACAAAGGTACCAACTGAATTTCTTTTATGAATTTATTTGTCAAATAACATTTACTATGGTTTGTTAACTTTGTTAGTAAAAAAGTGAAAAAAAAATGAACATAAACAAAGTGCTGATTGCAATTCCAGTGGAAGCATAGAAGATGAAGCAGCAATGTGAAATATATGTTTTAACTATTATTTAGCTCAGTGTTATTTGCTTTTTAATTATACTTTTATACAATCCCATTTCCTGGTAAAAATATACAATGAAACCTATGAACTTAATACATGATCAAATAACAAATAAACAAAGATAATTATAAAATATCATTAATATTGACCAAAAGCATTTAATAGAGTATATCACAATTTATAGCAAATGAGTTCTATTAAATCAGTTTTTGATTTGTCTTCTTAACTCAGGGTAAGAACATATTTAATATTAGCAATTCCACTTGTTGGTCAGTATTAATTAGAGATGTGCCAAGTTGTTACAAATAACTAATCATATACTGAGTTACTCTCATACTTTGCTATTAATGAACAAGGTTTAGTGTCAGAGCAAAATTTAAGCTAAAATTGCAACAACAGAGAATAAGCAAACCTACTATCTTATAGGAGTAAGTCTCTGTTTAATAATATGAATTTTGACTAATACTAAGTGCAGTCTCAGCATAAGTTTACTCCAACATTTAACTTTGTTATTTAATAATCCTGTTAGATTTTAACAATTTAAGTAGGTACTCAACTGAATAAATTTCCTCCAAAATTATGTTATGTTTGAGGTGTGAACAAATTGAAACGAGTTTTTTGTTTTGTATGAGTTGGACCACATTTACATTTTAATGGTGTATTCACATTGGTAATAGGGTGAATGACACATCTTTTAATAAAAAAAAAACAGCTTAACAACAAGTTTTAAACATTCAATATTAACATCACTTTTAATTTAAAATTTGTTTTGAAATAATTATGCTATTAATAAAAATCACTTTCTTAATGCTCAGCATTGAAATCAAGATATTTAGCCAAGCTCTGATAGTTTCAAAGTACAGAGTAACACATGAATAATTGACGCATCTCTAGTATCAGTCATAGACTTACAACGATAAACATGTATTCAAATAAGACTATTTGGCTTAAAAACATGGTTTAAGCAGTCTAAGCTCCTTTTGCCCACTTTACAACTAATATAAACTCACTGTTCACAAAGTAATGATGAAAGAATATTTCCTGGGTGCCTCAAACTAATATGCTGATATTGTCAACCTGTTTCACTACACAAAATAAAAGTACAAATAAAGTTTATAAAACCACACTGTATAAAAAAAACAATAAGTGTCCAAATGCTTACAAGATAACTGTCTTAATACATATTATTATTTATTATATATCTAATATGTACTCATTAGTAAGAATATCATTAGATTTTGTGAGACAACAAATAAGTATTGAAAACAAACTTGTGAAAACATATTTAAATAAAACAAAAATTAAGCTGTTTAAAAGTGTTAATATTATGTGTATAAAAAGTAAGTACAAATATAAATTCAATTTAAATAACTGCACCTACTATACAGATTGCATAGATTTACTTATATTAATCATGCTAGCAAGTGACAAATTACCTTGCTCAGTTTTGGACACCAAGATTTACACTGACTGTAACGACCGGCTGAGTTCGCACAGTGGTAATTATTTCCAACTGTGCTGGCTGACCAAACCGACATACCTAAACAGAATGCACGATAGATAGTCCTTCAACTTCAAGCGACGAGGTCACTAGGCTAAAGTTTATGTGATTATTCCATGTGTATTAAGTCTTCAGAAGTGTTCATTCACCATATGTATATGGAATACACTCTACAAGGCTAAACTTTATAAATTATTATTAAAGACGACTAAAAAAGTGTATTGCTCAGCTCAGTCACGCAAACGAAACGTCAAATCAATTTATTGACATTGTCATTGGCACTAATAATGTCATTGTCACAGTGAAGTGTCATTTTATTCCACAGATAAAATTGTAATTCTGCGTTCTACATTTCAAAATTATGCAATTATTGAAACTAAGACTTAAAAGTTAATTTAGAAAGGATTTGTCAAAAATGTACCGAAAAAGACCAATCATGTATACTGGTTGGCATTGGCATTGAAATTAAATTTAATTTAATTTAACAAGCAAGAAGTATCCGAACGCAAACTTAGAAAGAGACGGTTATTAAAAAAAATATCTGTTGTTGGCTCATTTTCGTAACGGTACTGTGTCTGTACGGGAGTGTCCATTTATCCGACCCGAATTGCAGAATGATAAGCGAGTGACAAGTGGATGATGTAGGTCGATTAAAAGTAGTTTGTTTTGGTTAATTACTGAACTTATAGAGACTATAAACCATTGGAAACGTAGAGACACTGTGATTTTTGTGAATTTAGTGCTCAATTTTTGAAAAAGTGGATTCGTAAGTAAACAGTACTTGCTGGGTGTTTAGATAGTGTGTAGCGATGGCTGAGGCTGCAGGCACCGCTGGCACTAACCCCAATGCGGAAATTGTCCGTGGCCAGGTTTTCGAAGTGGGTCCCAGATATACCAACTTACAATATATCGGCGAAGGAGCCTATGGGATGGTTGTGTAAGTACATGCATATTCATACCTAAATAAGTCTGTCAGTGTGTTTTATTATTATGCATAGCTCTAATTTAGCGGACTGTAATATCAAAGTAACCCAACATTGATATTCCTCATGCTATGTAATAAAAATTAGGCTACAATTTTTCATCATAACCCCAAATATTTATCATATAAATAGGTACTAAATGTAACTCATATGCTATATTGTCAAATAATTGTTGAAATAAGACTATATTGGTAATATTGTTGAACAACTTGTTGGGAAAGTAATAATAAATAAAAATAAATATTAGATAACATCACAAATATTGTTCAGATTCCTATTTAAGCGGTTGTGATACTTTTACAAAGGAAATCTGAAACAACAAAGGTAACAACATGCAGACCAGAGACTATATAAAAGATCATTTTCTTCACAGACCCAACCGGGTATTAAACCCGGGACCTCACATATAATAAGTAATAAAATATGAGTTTATAGAAAAACTGTTTATCCTTAATTAATTTTGTTAGATGCCCATGTTTTTTGTCTGAAAATTTCATTTATTGTGATGACCAAACCATCTTACTCTTTTTGAATAATTGCATAAGTGAGACCTATCTATTACTACTAACAACCTTAATTTAGTTTCATTATCATATCAGTGTTTAGAATGTTTTAAATCAGAAACATCTGCTTATTACATTGATTATTCAATACGATTTACTTGTAATATTCTTAGCACCCAGTTAAATTAAATGTTAACCAAAAAATTACAAGTTTTAGGGTTCCATATGCAAAGGGTAAAAATAAGACCTCCAATGAATATTCAGTCAGTATTCTGTATCTCGCTGATTAACGAATACTGAATTTTATATATCGACGCTGGAAAGCAAACACATAGTAACCCGCAAAACCAAAATGGATATTTAAAGTGGAAAATCTTTATATTTTTCCAAATTATTTTTTTTATTTCCGTACAAATTGACTAAGGAATGGCTTATTTATTACCATGGACGATCATAGGAATTATTTATCGAAAAAAATAAAAGCTTTTCTGCTCTGAAGGACAATTTTGGTTTCGCGGGTTACTACGTGTTTGCTTTCCAGCGTCGATATATTGTTGTAATAAGATAATTTTTCATTTTCATATTTCTTTATTTTTAGGAATTAGTTTAAGTAATTATTTTAATGTTTATTTGTTAGTTCTTTCACAATTTCACTAACTAACAAATCAAAACGTAGATATATAAGTTGTACTTAACATATTTACGATATGCACATACTAAAATTGTCAAAACATGCAGATGTCCTCGGGCTGAATATTTATACCTAACATTGGTATTCAGCATATGGGTGAATAAACTATTTGTTGCAAGTCTAGTAAAAATGGGAGCCTATTAAGACTCCGCTGGCTGCCTGTGTAGGATTTATCTTTTGAATGTTATAGCTAGACAATATCAAGACTCCACTATCCATTTCTTGCCAAGCTATATCTCATGAACCATGATAGTTAGACAGTTGAAATCTTCAATGATGTTTTTCTGTTGCCGCTATAACAACAAATACTAAAAACAAAATAATAAATATTTAAAGGTGGCTCCTTTACCACTATCGTTATTTTTCCTTTTTTATATTATTAGTACGAAACCCGTATCAGGTTATATTATGAAAGCATTTAAATAACTAAAAACTATTGTGAGATCAAATGCTATTAATAACAATCTGCATTTTATGTCTGTGTTCAGTCAGTAGTACGTACAAAACCGTCAAATTTCCTCACTCAATTTTAAAATTGAAGGATGAAGTCAAAACTCAAGATCCATTGCAGAAATTTAATATATTATGGTAACTTAACATGCAGGCGTGTGTAACCATGACCATAGTATAGTCATCAAGTTCCCGCGTGGGGGTGTAATAAATATATTATTATCTCACCTATCAAAATAGGTATGGGTGGTGCCCCCGTGTTGCGGCTTCTTTCCTTGGGGGTGACGATCTTTTTATTGTAGGGGTTTATGTGCTTCAAAACTAAGCTTATTTGTTAATGACTTTGCGTTTGAACGAAAATTTCATTGTCAGTGATTGTGTGATTTAATTACGTGAATCTATTATTTCTGTCATAAAAGATCATCATTCATTACATAAGACGATTTAAGGCAGAGTACTTTTGATCGTTCTTACTGAAGATGTTGACCAGGTCGTCTATGATTATGTCTAGAAAGGCAAAACGATTTAAGTACTCTGGCTCATTATGTTGCTGTTGAGATACACGTGTAGAGTGAAAACCTTTCGCATTTTATTTATTACTTTCACAATCTTAAAAATTACACTCAACTGGTGCGCTGAAAATCTAATATAGTCTGAAATAGAAATTCTGTCTATTTTTGGAACGCTAATATATTGTCTCAAGAGAAACCTATATTTGGATAATTCATGATGCATCGGAAGAAGAGTCTAAGACTGTCTCTTATGACAGATTATCTTCGCGGATATGATTTTAACAAAATTATAAGAACGATCCGAAGTATGAAACACCAACCAGTTAATTCGTGAGAAGCGAAAACGGGATAGTACTTTTTTCACTTTTATAAATGTATCTGTTTCTTTGAAAACAGAAAATAAAGACAACTTTCCCTTTTTTTTTTTGTCTTCCGTTGTTTTTTTTTTTGCCGGTCTCTGACCTTTTGTGTGATTGACGATTTTACATTTTGGACGTACACAAGTCTTCTTGTGTAATTCATGTTAGTAAACATAGAAATGTACTAAATAGTTTTTTTTAACGTTAAATGGTTTCCTGAAAGACTGTTTTCCGTATTCTTTTAGAAGCAAGGCTCGGTTCGTTTTGTCACAAGACTTTTGTTTCGTCTAGGTGACAATTCACCCAAAAACTATTTATGTGAATGTTATGTAAATAAAGACATTATCTCTTGAACTTGCTGCTAAATTACATCTAAGCCAGATGAATATATTTTGTAGTCTTTAGAGTTCAAGTAATCGCCGGAAAAATCTTGTTTCTACAATATCAATTTTCACAGGCGATTTCTTTTTTATGATAACGAATGTGATAACCTGATATTAAAGATGTTACAATAAAATAGTTAGGCATTTTACTTGTTACATCATAAAGGAGCTTTCTAAGGATTGTATTGATTAAATACATCACACAAATTCCTATCAAGAGTAATAATGTTAAAAGCGAAGATAAATCCGTATACTCTCAGTTAATACTGCCTTTATCCGAACAGAACAACATTTTCCAATTGAATAAGTAATGTACTTTAGTTGACATCTTAGGATTTCAATACATCCTAATTCTTACAGCATCCATGTATTGGGTTACGAAGAAACAAGAGATTTTGCACGCACGTTTCCTAAGTTAAGAGAAAAAAAAGATAACTTTATAAGTAACTCTTTAATTTTAAATAGAATCTAGATATCGTTATGAAAAGAAAATATTTGTGTGGATAGGATAGTTTTTATATATATAATACTCTTTATTGCACTCAAAATTTTACATAGAAACAAGTAAATAAATTAGTTACAAGGGTGGGCTTATCTCTATAAGAGATCTCTTTTATTGGTTCGTATGTCCATAACAAATGTTTTAACTACTTAGCTTAAATTGGAAGTATGGCGCTTCCAATACCGGTTCTAATATTGGTTTTATCCTGTAAATTCTAATATTTTACTTTTGCACGAGCCTTATTTTTTATAATAAATAAACTTCTTATTTAAACGTGCTTTATAAACGCCATATAAATAGGACGTGAGTGAAAATTTATTAAGGCGTAGGAAAATGAAGACTCATATGGCGTCTGGTATGGCGTCATTTACGTAAGATTTCAGATTGAAATATTCAGACTATATGCAGGGTTGTACATGAATTTTCATGTTAAATGGGTGTAGGAATATTTTATTACGTAATTATTCATTAACCAAGTGGTGTAAGCTATACGTTTACACTTAGCCTTGACTTTTTAGGGGGAAATTTGGAATAGAAATAAATTATAATGTTTCAGCGATGTGATAATATTATGGTTATTAATGAATTTTGCCTGCGCAAATTAAAGCCTATTACACATACGTCCATTAAAATTGACATTAGTTTAGACGATATTACCGATACATTTTTTTTTTAATTTTGAACATTTTTAGAAATTAAAGTTGTCATTAAACTATTGGATGTTAGTGCAACGGACTGTATGTTAATCGTATATGATTTAGCTTTTCGTAGGTCAAATAATATTTAAAATAAGCTCAGTAATTTAGGGGCCTATTAAGTGTAGTTAAATAAGTAAGTATTTTAAGTGGAATACTTTAAGCAAAATCTAAGTCCTCCTTTTGAACTACTAGTAGTATTTCTTTTACATAGCACGCTAATCTGATCGGTGTTAAAAAATCCAAGTCCATTTCCTTCTCGTTGCCTTTTTTTTCCCTGGTCAATATCATCGAAATATTGACATTACCACCGCTGAGTCATTTAGGCAATAATTAATTTCAAAATTTATTTTTCATAATCTATATCATATTAATATGATGATTACACACATTTAATATTTCGCATATACATGAACTATAATTATTTTGTGCATCTTCGAGCACCGACAGCTATTTTCTTAGAATGTTCAACGAACACTCAAGAGTCGGAATTTTCCAATTAACAGGACAATAACAGTTTGTTAATTATTAGCATAGCATTATAATGGTGCTAATTCTGCTGTACCACTCTCTAAGTCATAGTTTGGATTTGTATTAACATTTCCGTAGTCAGATAATTATAAAAAGTATAATTAAGGTATTGCTGTAATTGATTACTCCAGTTTGCGAATTAGAATTGCTATATACTAAAGAATGATTTGGGCGTACCTATGTTTACATTGTATGAAACCTATTATGATTTTCTACGTTCAGTTTATTTTTACCAAGTTATTGTTCAGAGACTATCCGAAGTAAGTTATTCAATGTGATATTTTTTATTCCGTCCTTTAATATACTAGCATTCATTCGTGTCCCTGAA